CCTCCGGATCCCCGTGAGGATTAGAAGTTTGACCACGTTCAATTCGCTTTTCCTTCGCCAAACGCCTTGCTTCTTTTTCGATTTCTGGATTGTAAATCAAGTTACCTGTACGCTGAGATCTGGGCATAGAGAAACAAATTGATTAAAAATAAACCAATCCCCGGCAACGGCGCCAAAAATTTGGTGGTTGTCGAGACCAACACAAATAATAACCCTAAATATTACACACTAAAATAGTGTATAGTGGTAAAGGGATCGAATTCACGGAGATTGGTTCAATTTATAACTCTATGAAAAAATCTCTTTGTAAAAATACTTGTAAAACGACAATAATATAAAATGGGGGGGGGGGGTTGGTGTTTTGAAACACTTGAAATAAACTAGAATTAACTATGATTTAGATAGAAAAATGCAACAAAAATAAGAGTTTGATGTAAAATCAATAAGGGAGAGAAGGTTGACTTAAAGTTTCCTCACTTTAACTTTTGATGAACATATCATTAGATTCCAATGGTGCAATACTTTGATTTAAATCCTTAATTTGGCTATAGTAATCCAAGGAGCTTGAGATTACCTAGACTTTTCTTAATTGTTGAAATGGCTAGAGAAGCTCATAACAATTTCCTTAGTCAAAGTCACTAATTCCAAATAACATGTAATTAGTGAAAGTCAACTAGCATTAAGAACCAAAAAGTCACCAAATCCAAGAGGGGTCAAATGCTTTCACCACCATGTTGGAGGAAATGTTTTTATGATTGTGTGAAGCAAAAACAACACAAAAATCATTTGTTGCTTGCTAATTTGAAGATCCTTTACTTAATCAAGAAATTAGCCAACTAATCACCACAAACACATTTAAACTCATGAACTAAAACATACAAGTAATGATAAGATGTTAAAACACAAAACATTCCCATAAAGATTCAAGAACATGTTCATGGATTCTTCAACATTCAACAAAAGTTCAAAGGATTAACCAAAAGTCAAACAAGATTAGCTTAGCCAAGCATGGCTAAACCCAAAGAAATAAAGTTAGAGAAAATTGTACCAAACATTAAGCAAGAATCAAGAGGAAAAATATGATGTTCTTCAAGGGTTCTTGGCCTTCAAAAGTCTTCAAAACTCTAGAGAGAATCTCCAAAAATCGGATGTCTAAGAGTCTTCAAAAGATGGGCACCAACCTTCCTCAAATAGCCTTCCAAATGGATTTCCGAAATTACCCCTGCAGAGCCTTGCGCGACCCACGTGCTGCTGCGCAGGTGGGTTGCGCGGGTGGTGCCTGACATGGGCTTCTTTGAGATTTTGGGCCTCCGAAGCATATCCCACTAGCCCAGATCGAATCCAATCACCTCCTAGCCCATTTTCTTCAAGATTTTCTTCATTTTAAGCCCAATTTGACCTCTCCAAATCCTCCAAAGCTCGTGAACTCGCCCGATTAATAATCTACGTACGCTTGAATATTCCCCCGCATCTTGTAAATTTAAAGTTTATTTCTCTCCAAGCCTTCAAATAATCATCAAGATCACTCCATGCATCATATCCACTACCCATCAAGCCCAACATCATTTTTGTCTACCAAATCTCATCGCCTCCCATACGTCCCGAACACTCCCGCTCCGCTAGACCCGAAAACCTGCAATTATGCTCACAAGATTCGAAAGTACCCGAAATAGTCATAAAATAAGAAAAAGGAAAATATGCATGGAAATTATCTAAATTATGAATGAAATATGCTAAAATAAACTATAAAAAGAAGTAAACAAAACTAACTACCACCTCGAGTGACTAATATATGTGTTTTATATATATATATATATATATATATATATATATATATATATATATATATATATGTATGTATGTATATATATATGGTATTTTGGGGAACTCACTAAGCTTCGTGCTTACAGTGTTTTGTGTTATGTGTTTAAGGTACGAGTGAGGATCACGGGAAGGCGTCGACTTGATCAGTACACACACAAGATTTTTATGTTATGAGATCTTGGGATTGATATATGTTATGAATTGAGTTCTAAACAATGATGTTTTTATGAATAATGAAAGAATTATGTTTTTATAAAATGCGAAAAATTGTTTTGAAATTTACGGTGTTACAACAGGTGCCACATTGTGGTTTGTTGGGTATTTTTTTCCACCTAATATGTATTTTGCCTATGACTTTTTTTTTTCTTTAAAAATAAAATTCTGAAAATACTAAAGTTGCTAAAATTTAATTCTCTTAAAAATGAACATAATTATGAAAATTTGAAAATAAATAATATTTTTTTTTCAATTTTTATTCTTCAAAAATTATAAAAATGTTAAGTAATATTTCTACTTACTATATTAGTGACTTTGTAATTTTTTTTAACAGATATGGTGTTTTACATACAAAATTTGATTTTAAAAGATTAGAAGTATTTTAAAAAATTGGTAAATATATTATGATTCAAACAGAGATGATTCAAAACATTTATGATTCAAAAATATTATTATTTCATATGTTTATGATTCTTAACTAATGATAATCTATAAATATTTTGATTCAAATTTTAATGATCCTTAATTATTATATTTATTATGATTTAAAATTAAACGATTCAAAAAATATAATGATTCTAATGTTGTATTGAATAAAAACTCTATTTAATTTAATATATTATGTTTCAAATTAATATGATCCAAAAATGTATGATGCATAATATCATTATGATGCAAAATTTTATGATAAAAAATATTATGATCTTTAATATTTTTTTCTTATTTAAAATTGTATAGTTGTTAAATTTTAAAAACTCAAATTGATATTTAATTTAAAAAAAAAAAACAAAAATAATTAAAAAAAAAAAAACCCTACTATCTTCAAATACAAAACAAAGATATTAAAAAAAATAAAAAAAAACAAAAAAGAAAAAAATAACTTAAAAAAATGAAATAAAAATAAAAATGAAAACGAAAAAAACAGGAAAAAATTTTAAAATATTTTAAACCGAGCATATATCTATTAATTTTTTTTTTAATGCGAAGTAAAAAAAAAATAATAATTAAAAAGCGAAAAAAACCAAAATAAATGAACAGAAAAGAAAAAGATCCACTTAAATGACGTTGTAGACGTTGGTCGTACATGCTTATTCTTTCGAATTTGTATTACTTTTGATGCATATGTGTCGCGTGCGAACAGGTTACGACCAAGTAAATGATTTTGACATTTATGTCTTTAAGGGATTGATCGGTGGATAATATTTCTCACGGTTCCTGCATATTTTGGGTTAATACGGGATCCAAAGTATATATATATATATATATATATATATATATATATATATACATGGGAGGGTTGAATTGAAAAAAAAATTGAGAATAAGGGAATTATTCTCAGCCAATCATTTATTTTTGCTGCAAAAGCCTCCAACGTACCGGCGAAAATGGAAAAGTAATGCACATGTGTTTCCAACAAAACATATTTCCTTAAACTATAGTAATCATTACCTTAATATATACAAAAACATAGTTTTTTTTCGTTTTTTTTTTTAATTTTTATAAACTATTTTTATCAAAAAATGATTTTAAATATACAAAAATTCATGATTTTTTATTCGCTACAAATAGACATCCATATTGATATAGTTTTAAGATAAAATAAAAAAGTTTATTTTTTTTTTTATAATTTCATCTATCGTTATTCATAAGTGAATAAAAATTCATCAGATTTTATTACAGTACATTTGTTATTCACGTATGAATAAAAAGTATGATTTTTTTTTTTTTATTTTTTTTATTTTTTTTTTTTTATACAATTTAAGTAATATTCATATATGAATATAGCATATAATAAACATAGTATATTCATATTTTAATATTGAACGATGTATTCACTTGTGAATATTAACATATTATATTCACTTGTGAATATTAGATAATATATTCACTTATGAGTATTAAATAATATTTCATATGTGAATATTACATAGTATTACATGGTATATCACATGTGAATATTACATAGTATATTCTTATGAATATTACACCGTATATCCACATATAAATATTACAAGGTAAATTCACTTGTGAATATATTCATTTATGAATATTTGAAGGTATTTTGACAAATATATATAATTTTTATATGTTATTCAAATATGCATAACATACAAACTTATATATTTGTTTTGTGTTTTTAATAATCATATACTGATTCAGGTGAGAAAACATGTTCATATGTGAATATAACGTGATAATTTAGTTTATGCATTTCATCAAACAATTGGAGTGCATACAAATTAACTATTTTAAAAATGTTAAAAACATGAAGTTATCAATTTCAAATCATCATATACTTCTGATTTCGACTTCAGATGCGACATCCTATGTCTGATCGATTTCTCATTTTGATTTTGATTTCCGAAAATCCGATTGGGAACCTGTGAGTACTGATTCTGAGTCCCTCAATGTCGACTGTGACTGCGAGTTCAAAACTCCAATTCCAATTTCATGAACAGCGAAGAAATTCCAATTTAGTTGAAGAAATCTGGATGATTATTAAAGGTTGGAGGAAAAATTTTGATGATGAACGAACTGTTATCAAATTCTGTATAGTTACGTATTTGAGATTGAAGGTTATTACGATATTTACAAATTTGCCACCGTGTCTTTTATGCTTAAATTAAATGAATGGCTAAGAATGATTCCCCCATTCTCAATCTTTTTTATTTTGTCAATTGAACTCATATATATATATATATATATATATATATATATATATATATATATATATATATATATATATGCTTAAATTAAATGAATGGCTAAGAATGGTTCCCCAATTCTCAATCTTTTTTATTTTGTCAATTGAACTCATATATATATATATATATATATATATATATATATATATATATATATATATATATATATATATATATATATATATATATATATATATATATATATATATATATATATATATATATATATATATAACAAAAATGCCTTGACCATTTCTTCAAATTGGGAAAAAAATTCGATATATTCTCACGGAGCAAGAAACTGAAGAAAAATGGCAGAAACACCACGACACATTGCCGGAAAAGACACAGGTTGTGGTTTCATAGGGGCTATTTTCAATTCCAAGCCCCGGAAAACACGACCGGTAGCGCGACTTGAAGCCTCCAAGGAGCACCGGCAAACTCAATTTCCCGGCAACCATACTTCAAAAAGACCACAGCGAGCCCACAGCCGCACCATCACCACCACGGCAGCCGCTGCGACGGAAATAGTATACACTGGCTTCTCAAAACCAGTAGCTAAAAACCCTCCTGCAACACTCCCTAAAGCCAAACCACCCACCGCCGTGAAAAGACCGCCTACCACAGTTAAAAGACCGGCCACCGTGAGAAGTAATCCGGTTAACTCTACGTATGATTCAGTCTCCAAAAGTGCATTATACAGTGTTTCACAAGTAACCAATATCACATACACTAAACAACTTCGAAAAGAGCCCAGTTTTACGTCCAGCGAGTTGAGTCTCCGAATCTCTGTTCGTGGAAAATCGAACCCAAATGGCTCCACTATATCTTCATATCGAGCTTCATCAAATCATGTCATGGTTCCAGGTCATTTGGGAAATCTAATGAAGAGAAAACCTGAAAAAACACAATCTTTCGCGGAACTTGGAAACGTCTACAAAAACTCAGATAAAAAATGGGATTCTGAATCGTTTAAGAACATGGGTAACGAGAAGTACAAACACGGCCAATTCGATGAAGCAATCGCATTATACACAGAAGCAATTGGGATGAATTCATCAATCGCATCTTATTACAGCAACAGAAGTGCTGCATTAATAGGTTTAGGAAAATTAATCGATGCAATTCTTGATTGCAAAATCGCTATTCGTATCGATCCTTCGTATCATCGCGCTCATTATCGTCTCGCGTCTCTGTATCTCAGGTACTATCTGAACTCTGATCTCGTGAACGTTTGTCTGCATTAATGACTTGTACAATTACTTTTGGTCCTTTTATCTACTTTAAGATCTAGATTGCTAGATCTTGAATCTTTTCGGGGTTTTTTTTTCTGGGTCCAGTAATCCGTAACTTGCGTCTGATTTGCATTTATGAGTTAAACAGTACAAGTCAGTAATTCGTACGAAGGTACGAGTATTTGTGTTCTTTGCATTGATGACTTGTACTGTGCAATCATATCCATGCATAAGGTTGTTTTTTGTTTCGAGGTTAATTTTTTGTAAACGTTTTAATGTGTTTTTTAGGTTTGGGGAAGTAGAGAAAGCTCTATGCCATTACAAGTGTTCAGGGGAGAAAACTGAAAGACATGATATTGCTAAGGTACAAGCAATTAAAGCACAATTTGTTACGTGTTTGGAAGCTCGAAAACTCGATGATTGGAAAAGACTATTGAAAGAAAGCCAATTTGCAATTTCTTTGGGTGCAGATTCAGCTCTTCAGGTATTTTTGATAATAATGTTTGATTACTGATTAGTGTACAGGAATAAAATTATTTTTATATGATTTTTTTCTGTATTGTATAATACATCATATAGATTTTTAGCTTTAGATAAAAAAATAAAAATATAATTTAATTAAAATCATAAAGATTTTCAAAACAGATTTTTACCTTTAGAATAATATATCGTAACTTTTCATTGGATTAAAAAAAACCCTAGACTAAACAATGAAAATTAACAAATTAGAATTGTTATAAATTTATCAAAACAAACGCTACGTTATTTATATACGTTTCATCAACGACATTGTTTTTTAAGGTCTATGCTATGCAAGCGGAGGCATTACTAAATCTCCAAAGACACGAAGAGGCTTACTCCGGCTTCCAAAATGCACCCACTATCGACATTAATATTTCAAGTCAATTGTTCGGACCAAAGGTCACTGCCAATTTCTTAGCTGTCCAATCACAACTTCACTTAGCATCGGGCAGGTTAGCAACCGATTAATTTTCGTGTAAATCAATTTATTCTTATGGTAACATTTTTTTTTTTATAAATTGAATTGTTTATTATATAGGTTTGAAGAGGCTGTTAGTGTTTCACTAAGTGCATCACAACTCGATCCAAGTGAGGAGGTCTTTAAAGTAGCACGAAAAGCCCGAGTTTTGGCAAAAGCTAGAGCCAATGGTAACAAGATTTTTAGGGCATCACAATACTCGGAAGCGTGTAATGTATATAGCCAAGGATTGGATCATGAACCATACAACTCTATATTACTATGCAATCGAGCTGCTTGTCGATACAAACTAGGGCAATTCGAGAGAGCAGTAGAAGATTGTACCATAGCCCTAAACTTAAGACCTTCGTACACAAAAGCTAGACTCCGAAGGGCAGAATGCAATGCGAAGGTCCACTCCAATCTTTTCTAGTCATTATAAATTATGGGTCCCATATAAGTCATAAGTTGTGGGCTACCAATAACTTATAACTTTTGATTTATTTTGCAGTTGGAAAGATGGGAGGCTGTGATCCAAGATTATGAAGTTTTGAACCACGAGACACGAGGAGACAAAGAGTTGGAACGGGCGTTGTTGGAAGCTCGGATGCAACTTGAGAAGCGACACACCGCAGATGCCAAATCTTTAAAACTGATTGATAGACATAACTCGGAGAAATTTGGAGGCTTTTTACTTGCGGTATAAAGACTGAAAACTTTGGAATGGTTTATGGAATGCAAGATTGATAGACAATATTTAAATGTCGATTGTAAAATTAATTGATATTTTTTGTATGCATGTTTGATTTTATGTTTTTGGATGCAGCCTAACTTAGTGTCGATATAGACTACTTTTTGTGTCCCCACAAATATTCGGGGGCCGGAATTGGAGAACAGATTTGTGTCGTGTAACAAAATTAATAAATTAATTTTTTTGGTTATGAGACGGCAATTTAGAATTTCTATCTGGCAATTAAGATAGAATGATTATCTTATTCAATCAAGATATACTTATATTGATTAGAGTTCGTGAAAAGTATAAATTAATGTTTTTCTCATGCCCAGATTTTATAATTTTATACTTGATCAAATAAATGAATTCGTATGTGTGATTATATTTTGGTCATATTTGACGTAAATAACATTGATTAAAAACTAATATTCTTTTAAATATTTTTTATAGATAGGGTGACGTATCTTAGAAACTGATTCTATCTCAACTCATATCTATCCTTCTTTGATGTTTTATATAAGCGCCATAAGTGGACAAGGCCTCTTTGAAGTTTCAACTAGTGTATATTGGGCTAAAGCGATGACAATAAAACTGGATATGGTTCGTTTTGGACTTATGATGAACAATCATAAATTTATATTTGATAAAGAGATATTAACAAAATTAACCAAAGATAATTAAAAAACTAATTAACTTTTTTTATTGGAATTTTAAAAACTATCAAGTTTTTCGAAGCGATTTATTTCAGATTAGTTATGAATGTTCTGGAGTTGATTGTGGTTGTTGAGATGTGATGTAAATGTATGTTGTCCGTATTGTAATGCGATAGTGACTTTCAAAATTCTCAGATATAAACACTGCAATAAATGATTGCAATGGTATTTCACAATGGAAATGTATCAAACAAGATATAAGGTGGTGATGCATCATATGTCAATGCCTGTGGAATATGAACAACCAAATCATGTCAGACTTGTAATATGGACAAAAAACAAGTTGGACATCCACGAACCATAACTGCATCTCATCCCAAGAGAAGATCTGATAAATAAAAAAAATGTAGTTACTGCCAACATATTAGACATACATGCATAAAGTGTTTATTATGTAAATATATGTGGAGTCCCATAATAACTCTCCAAAAGAGCTATTGTGGAGAGAGGGAAAACTCCAATATATATAGTCACTTATAAGACCATGTCACACTGATATTAGATACACTAACACTCCCTCTCAGATTCGGAGGTTCGATATGGATAGACATGGATGTGCTGAACCACGGGGGTGCAAGACGCCGACTTTGATACCATGTAGATATATGTGGAGTCTCATAACTCTCCAAAAGAGCCATTTTGGAGAGAGAGAGAAGACTCCAACATATATATCTACTTATAAGACCGTGTCGTACCGATGTAATATACACTAATATATTATTGTTTACAGGGGAACCAACAAATTCTAAATGATAAAGTATGAGTAAAACGAAGGTTAAAATTAAGTCTAAGTCTAAGATTAATGTTAGTAATCTAAGGGTTTGTTTCCTTTTTTTATTAAGTACTGAATTGATTAAGTGTATCGAACAAATAATGATAGCTGAGTGACTAAAGTATTGTTGAGATAAATAATCTTTTTTTACTTAATGTAATAAACAAATGATTATTTTACCCTTATATTTAAAATATCAATTAACGAATTGATCAATTATTTAATAATTATTATAAATTAAAAATAACACTAAAATGTTTTAAATCGTCAATATCAACTAATAAAATCCCATTAGTGTGTATAATTATGTACAACGAGAATAAATTACAAACATAAATTAAATTACACAAAATTGCAAAAATTATGTCAAAATTATATGGTTTTAGACCAAAAATGTTTGGTGGTGTATCAGTGGTCTAATCTTAGATATCCTATTTATTTTTTGGTCAAAAATATTAACTTTAACAACTTGGTTTTAAAATGAAAATTTTACCATCAAGGACCATGTTTACAACCAAACTATAATGATAATTTCAACATATTTTCTTTTTAATTTTATTTAATTATTATACATTAATTCTTTCCTAATTTCTTTTTATTGGATTAATTCTTTTTTAAGGTATTACTATATATTAATAAATATTATTTTTAATATATAATATTTATATATTAATAAATATTACTTTATTGGATTATTAATTTTATTTAATTAATTTTTTTATGTTCTTTTTTAATGATTTAATCTTTCTTATTGGATTACTATATATTAATAAATATTACTTTATTTGATTATTCACATTTTTTAAATAAATCTTTTTTAATTTTTTTATTGGAATAATTCTTTTATTCGATTATTATTATTAAGAAATATTATTTTTTAAAACCAAGTCCCTGACGATCGATCATGTTTGTCACTGTTACTATTATTTTTAAATCATATGTGCAAAAAGAATTTATTGTTTTATAGTTTTGAAACCCATAAAAAACCACCATCATCACCCAGTTCGATAATGGTGGGATAGGTGTGATTTTTTAAAATAAATTAGGATGGTCGTTGTGTACTAAAACAACTTAAACTAATAAAAGCAAAATTAAAAAAAAATTATCTAAAAGAAATTAATCATCCAATAAAATAATATTTATTAATATAAAATTATTATATATTAAAAATAATATTTATTAATATATAATAATCCAATTAAAAAAAATTTAAATAATAATTATTAAAAAAATTAATCATATAATAAAGTAATATTTATTATTATATATTAAAAATAATAATTATTAATATATAATAATCTAATAAAAAAGAATTAAGGATAAACAATTAGGTTAAATGTTGGGTTTTTATCCAATATTTTTTTTTCTTCTAAAACACAATATTAGCAATGAAAGTATTTAAAATTCAAACAACATAAACTACTTTTATTCCCACTAAGGGATTTAATTGCAAATAAAACAACCAAAGAGGGGGATAGGGGGGAGATTAATAACTTTTGTAGTCATTTGAGTCCTGAATGGGAGGCTTGAAAGTTGATAAAGATGGTAAAGATCCAAAGTAGAATCTTTATATATGTATCCACCAACAAGTCACCAAGCCACTAATAGATTCTAGTCTATCACTTTTATATAGTTATTCTTAAGCCTTAAAGACTTATACTAAACAAGTCTCCAAAGGAGAATCAACTAGAACACCAAAAACTACACAAGAAGATTGCTAAAGAGATGAGAGGGGACGAGAGAAGTGCTCTCACCATTTTGCTTCAAAAAGAGGAAGACGAAGTAAACTAGGTTTAGTTCTCTAGCTTCTTTTATACTTACACTCACATGTTAGAGCCTATGCTTTCATTAAAAAACTTCATGACTTGCAAGTAATCTAAGAGGTGTAAGAAAAAGTCAAAGCAAGCAACCAACCATACCTAGTACTAGGTATGAACAATTTTATAAAGTGGTATCTCCTCCAATTAACATATTAAGACTTTATTTATATATTAAAAAGAAACATCAGTATATATCTGAATATATTAAAGTATTTTTAACCATTAAGCTTGTTAAGTAAAAATGAAACACCCTTTAGTTATACTTTCCACATGTGACAGTGGTCCACTTCTTGGATAGTTTATGCCCCTATGTAGCAGGTTCATCATATGCCTTCTTCTTTTTTCTTCTTGGGCCTACCCACCTACAAATGTACATAAGATAAAATTGTTGTTCTTCAGAAGCTGCATTTATATTGATATATGAAGGCATACATGAACAACATGTTTGGGTGCAAGCAACTAGGTTGGGCATGGTGATTTGGGCCACATCAATCTACCATTTATAGGTTCAATTTTGTGTTTGTACACTTCTGCCCATGTAACTAGCCAATAGCATGGGTGAACCCAATGCTCCAACTCAGGAACATTCTTTGCTCCATGTTTAATCTAACAACCCGAAATTTCTATCTTGTACAAACCATGCACTTCAATCAAAGTCAAACTTGTTTCTGCTAACTTTTAGCACTGTTTAGAGTCTGTTTGAGCATTCTGAGCTTAGTACACCAAAGGAATGAGTGAAAGGAAGTGTCAATTGAAGTTGTAAACTATTAAGCAAGCCATAAACCCTTAAAAGAGGAGTTTATGACCAAGAACCATGAGTTTACGGCCGTAAACTCATGGTAGCCATAAACTCTATGCTATATATATGGTCCTTAGTCATTTTTCAATCACTTTTCACACTTCCAAGCCTAGAACTCGATTTCTCTCCCAAGGATCATAAGGCTTTTGCTTCCAAAATTAAAAAATGTAAGTGATTCCTTCCCTTTATGAGTTAATACATCACTTCTTCTTGATTCACTCTTGAATTCATCCACAAATTTCATCTTTTGGGTCTAGATCTTCAAAGATCATCAAGAACATCAAGAACACTTAAGTGTTTTAGGCCGAAAACACCCCCATTTGCCTTCAAATCGTAAGTACACTAACCTTAGCTTGTTATATACATGAATCACATATTAAACACCTAGAAAACACCAAGAAATCAAGAACAAAAGGGTGTTTACGGCCAAGGCAATCTACCTTGGCTGTAAACCCTAATTTGTGGTGCAATGTTGCCACAACTCCTTCCTAAGCCTTGGACTTGAGTCTAGAACCCTTCCAAGAAGACCATAGGACCTTATCACACAAAATGGTACAAGATACCATGAGTTTACGGATGTAAACTCATTGGGCTGTAAACCGATGGGCCATAAACTCATATGGGGTCTTACCATTGGGCCATAAACTCTCATGTGAGGCCCTACACCCCTAAAATGCAACCCTTTGTACTTCTAGCACTTAAAGTGAAGTGTTTTCTATGTCCTAGGGTGTCTTTACTTGCTTAATTAGTTGTTTAATCACTAATTAGATACATATATGTGTCATTATATGTTAAATAGGATCCGTGTGTGCTCAAGTCTTCACTTGACACTTAGCATCCTATACCGATCTTTCATTCGCATCACTCACTGCAAGTGAGTTCATACCCCGTAATCAACCTTTTAAATAATTTTAAATGCTTTTAGGGGGGGGGGGGGAATACAAGTTGAAACATTATAGTTATTATATCAATCACATGTGATTAATAAGTATCAAACAGATGGATTTACTATACTTTTAACTGTGTTATCAAACAAACTATTTCAAAATGTTTATCAAACTCTTTTACAATGGTAAAATCTTTAGAAAACTTGTTCTTATATGCTAAACTTTTTTTTAACTCTTTCAAACTTATATATTGTCAACACCATGTCAAATGCATATATAGTTATATAAGTAAGGTTTGAAGGACTTAGGACTGATAACTCACTTTATTTCCTGTTCCTTGTTTGGTTGTGGACTTAGAGTACCTTGTTGTTTGTCCGAGTGTCGTTTGATCGTTAGTTATATATTTAGTGTATATGTATAGACATAAAAACTTTTATTTCAGTTTAACACACTCAGTCATACAACAACTCTACTAGTAAACTATAATAGGTATAGTTTAAGAGGTTACTACTCACTATTACTAGTACAAGGAGCCATACAAGATTCAGTTCATTTATGAGTCAGTACAAACTTACTATTATGAGAAACAGAAAGAACATACTATGTTGAGAAACTAAGAGAACATACACTATACTATACGAGAGAACATACTATACACTAGTATAGAGAGAACGTTATTACACTATAATTTACTATACAAACACTAGGATGTGATAACTAGAATGTGAAATACTACTTCATGATACAAAAATACATTGTTTTTTCACATTGTAACCAGAGTCTCCTAGAGGGAGAATGGGCATCGTGTGTATAGATCTACATGGGACAGACACTCCCACACCCCGACTGCTAGCTACAATCCTAGCCGGTAAGGCCAAGAGGTGACAAAATGTCACCTCACTATTTTATGACACTGAAAGGTCGTCAGGTATTCAGCCGTCAATCAGCATGGTTACAACCAGTTCACATCTAAACCTTTAATTAACCGACTAAGAATTAAAGGCAACAAGACTCCCTGAGGGGTATATCACATTTAATACTACCTGGAGTCTTTATTTTATATAGTCAGTAGTGTCAGTACTGAGATGAAACATTGTTTTCCTTATTGCATTTACTTTGTGATCTTCTCACATAAACGATAATGTAAACTATATTTTGATAATGATAGCTATACTTGGGAAAACTCATACATTTACAAAAGAACAAACATACAAATAGTCAGGTCTGGGTAGAAGACTATATTTCAGTAGAAAATATAGGATTTTCTAGGAAGTGAAAACATTTAAAAACATTTACAAAAAATTACAAACACTTACATTACTCTGTTACAAACCTTTTTATACAAACAATGACACTGAAATGCTTATGAACTCACTAGCTTTAAAGCTGATAAACTCTTTCAAAATAACTTGTATTCTCAGGTCATCAGTAGACATGTACCGATACCAGCTTTTGAGAAGATGGAGCACATCCAAGACTCATCATTTGTTTTGATTCATATTTTTGGTGTCTTTTAAACTATACAAAACAAACTTGTATTAAATTATATTATTAATGCAATGGATGATGTTGTTGCTTGTTTACTATTATGCTTTGTTGTGATACTGTACATGATGTCATCCGCCCCAGAACGTTTCCGCCGTTCCGGTTTTGGGGTGTGACATTTAATCTTTTCCCATATTGAACTTATTTCATGTGAGCATAACATATCTGTAATTTCCCAGTGTCTACATGTGCATGTTTTTTTCATCCAAATTCACAATAAACTGATCACCCCAATAAGTAGTGACTTGAGTTTTAACCCCATTGAAAATACACTAGTGCTTTTGTGCTTATCTTTTCATTTGATCAAGAAGAATAGTGGTAGTTGGTGTGAGAGGACCATGAGATCTATCAATCTCTCTTTGGACATTTCAAATTCTCTTTATCAAATACTCTATAATATACTCCAAACACTAAATGATAGGTTTATCCCTACTGCCTTGTATTTTCCATTCACAACTCTATACAAGCTATTCAACAAGATGTTAGTATATGCCCTCCCTGTTTAATGATATAATACAAAATGAGAACATAACCTAACAGTGACAAGTAAATGTAAACATCATTGAAAGATGAAGTGCTAACCTGAGAAATGAGATCTTGCCCAATGAGTTGGAGGAATCTGTATTAGCTAATCATGAGCTTCAACATTGAATTTTTTAGCTCTTCTAATGCTTTATGAAAATGCCTTACAGTAGTAGCAGTTGCACACGTCCACACAAAATCTTTCAGCTCTTTATCTTTCCACTGTCTTTTCATATTATCATAAGTATGCCTCAGACAGAACCTATGCCCAGCTTGAGGGTATAGTTTTGCAATTGCAAGAATGATGACCTATTTAAATATTTCAATAGTTAATTGACCAAATAAAAACAATATCAAATTAAATTGAAGTATATGTTCCTTCTGCCTATCTGAGATGAAAGTGAAATTTAAATTAGCATCAAGTTCCAGATCATCACCAAGTTGTTCCAAAAACCATGTTCATGAATTTGTGGTTTCATTTTCAACAAGTGCATATGCAAGAAGATATATCCCATTATTGGATTCTACCCCCACGACAGTCAACATTTGACTAGGATAGCAACCTTTCATGCAAGTACCATCCAACCCTATGAAATCTCTTAGATTAGCCTTAAATCCTTCCTTCAATTCCCCTAAAAAATGTAAATTCTCCTAATTACGTCATTGTATCAGAATTTATATTTGGCTCAGTATGACAATCGATCTTGACATTAGTACGTGGGTTTATTTCCATCAACTCTAGTCCATCGTCCCTCAAGATAGCATATTGTTTATTAAAATCCCTAAAAACATGCTTCTGAGCCAATGCCTTTTCCCGATGTACCTTCATTCTTAACAAGTGCATATGCAAGAGGATATATCCCATTATTGGAATCTACCCCTACGACAGTCACAATTTGACTAGGATAAGGACCTTTCATGAAAGTACCATCCAACCCTATGAAATCCCTTAGATTAGCCTTAAATCCTTCTTTCAATGCTCTTAAACAAATGCAAATTATCCTAAACATCCTTATATTAAAATTTATATTTGGATCAGTGTGACAATCGATCTTGATGTTAGTACTTGGGTTTATTTCCATCAACTATACTCCATAGTCCCTCAAGATAGCATATTGTTTCTGAAAATCCCCAAAAACATGTTTCTGAGCCTATGCCTTTGCCTGATTTACCTTCATTCTTGACATGTTCATCTCGAATTTCAGGATGAGATCTTCTTGTAGTGCATTGACTGGAATGGTTGGATGACTCTCAATTTGCTTCACAATGTTTGTTGCATTGAATTTGTAGTTGCAAGCTTTAATGGTTCTTGATTGCACACACAGATGTTTATTAACTAGGGTGTTCACCACCCAGTCATCCGTTTCTTTAGGTCTAGACACTAGTACAACCCAAGGACATTTACCCGCTTTCATATTTACTATTTGGTCCTTGAATCCAGTCCTTGACTTTTTCCATGGCCCACCATCATATCTGGGACCACTCCTCTACACTTAGCCCTAATCCTTATTTTTTCGTTTTTTTTTTCAAAATGTAAATCCCTTTTGGTTTCTACTACATGTTTGTTTATATAGTCTTTCACGTCTTTCTTTGTTTTGAAATTTTGTTCCAATGTGAAAGCCTTTAGGTGAACTACACCCTCGGAACAAGCTTTTGTTTTTCCTATGTCTTTCAACATTCTCTCTCCGTTGTTATCTTCACCTACAATAGGTGAATCAAACGATTCTGGGTCTATGAATTCCAAATCTTCACCTTCAGTAAAGTCAACACCACTACCACTTGCTTCTTTGGTCGTTTTTTGAATCCACTCAACATATTCATCAACATGTATATGAAAATATTTCATATGAACATCCACATCATCTACAATATTTTCTAAATCCACAAAGAAGTCTTCATCCTCACTACTATCATCTGTCCTATTACCCTTACTCCTACTAGCCTCACTCCAAGCACCCTCACTAACACTTTCCTTACTTCCACTATATTCATTCTCAAAAAATCAACATCATGTAGATTTTTTACCCACCATATTCTGTGTCTACATCCCCCATTACCTCATAATCATCCAGTAGATCAACATCCCCTTTTGGTTGGTGATCATCCCCTGTGTCAACATCTCTTTTATCTTGGTTATCCTCAAACTGTACCCCCTAAAGGGATCACTCTCTCGATCAACTGAGTGTTTTTTGTTGATCAAATGTTCATAGGGTACAATCAACTTTGACAAATTAGCGGGCTCATTCAAATCCAACTTTTTACTACATGACCCAACTGATTTCCTTTTCATTCTAACCCTATTCATTTAAGGAGAATGATCCCCTTCATCTTCCTCAACACGAACCTTCAATGGGGACTTAAAGTAAGGGACTACTCTAGTATTCCCATGCTCAATGTATAAATTAATTTCCTTATGATTAGTCACATACCTTGCCAATTGAATGACTTCTTGATCGGTGCCACGGGGTAACAATCTACTATCCAAGTCTGTCTCTGGGATCATGAAATGGTAAAACCTTATACCTCCATCATTGTACCCTAAAACTGCCATCATATCATTTAACTTGTGGACTGAAAACACATATATGTCCACAAAATAAAAGTAATCCACAAGCCCATCTATGTACGACCTTCCAGATACCGTATTTGTGAACAGACCCCCATGATTTATCTTCAATGTGCAAAAGCTTGAAATAGAACCTAAGGTGAAAATTCAAGAACAAAATGTCACTGGTGGAGGAAAGCAAAATTACATGTGTACAACATTTCGTCAAACCTAACATTACAAGGTTGTGCTTATAATATTTTTTACGTAGGTCAAGTGGTTAAGTGTATCGTGGACGTAACGACCACAATGTGAGCACCATTTTCCTCAACACACCCTTTAATTAGTTGAACTATGTTGATGGACGACGATAAGAACTCACGATTGAAGAAGAGGGGATGATCAAAAGATTTTCTTGGGGAAAGAGATAGAGTGTCAAAGTCAATGTCTAAAACTAAACCCTACCACCTTAATGGTTATATCTATTGAGTTAAATGTTTAGAAAAGGTCCTTTAGAGTAAAATGACATAAATATTGTAACACCCATAAAAATCGTGCCAAATTTGAACTTTTAAAAACATTTCAAAACCATTAATTCATTACAACTTGTTTTTAAAATATATAATATCAGAGTTTTCCCAGAAACATAAACAAGACATGAGGAGCTGTACGATCACGCCTTCGCCTTGCCGCGATCCCCTGATGTACCTAAAACAATAAACTAAAACTGTAAGCCTGAAATCTTAGTGAGTTTTCCCCAAAATACCCATAACCACAACAATACACATATAATCATAAACAACATACTATGGGTGTAACACCCAAAGTTTCAAAGGCCAAGAAGGGAAAGAAAAGCCCTAATTTAAGGGCCGACTCGGCGAGTCCAAGGAGGGACTCGGCGAGTCCGAGCGGGATCCGGGTCGAGGTGTAAGCGACCGACTCGGCGAGTCGGTCAAGGTGACTCGGCGAGTCTGGTCTGTGCGTGGAAAACCCTAAATTCGGGACTTGGGGACTATATAAATGTCTTAATCTTCTTCCTAGGGTTCCTTACTGCCTCTTTAGTCCTGGATATCAAACCCTAGCCGTCATATCTCCTAGTTGAGCCTTGGAAGGTGCATTAAAGCTTGGAAAAGGAAGAAGGAACTTGGAGGAGCAAGAAGGAGCTATAGATCTGGGATTGTGAGTTCATTCTGAGCACTTGGAGGTAATAAACTAGTTCCTGGACCCTTTTTGCACCTAGATCTATGTGTGGTTGTTGGGGCTCTTTTGCCATAATGTTATTATTTTGGGTTAGAAGCCGGATCTGGAGTTGCTACTTCAGATTCAAGTGTTTTAGGGCCTGGAGAAGCATAAAGTATCAGCCATTGAGTCGATTTTGAAGTCCCTTGGCCTTACACCCTAGTTAATGGCGTATCTTGCCTAGATCTCCTTCTCTACACGTAAAGTTTGCAACTTTACGTGTGGAATAGGCTTGGGAAGGGTGGATCTATAGTTTGGAGTCCATGCATGACTCAAAAATCCTCTGCATGTAAGGAGATCTGAAGGGACTCGACGAGTCCTTTGAGTGGACTCGGCGAGTAGCATGAAGTTTTGGAGAAACTCGACGAGTGGGATGAACAACTCGTCGAGTCGTATGAAGATTGCCTTGGACTCGGCGAGTCAGGTCGCAAAACCCCAAACCCTTCGCGTTGTGACTCGAATCAGTGAGTCGGGTGGAGACTCAGTGAGTTGAACAGGTCTGGACTCAAAATCAGTAGACTCGGCGAGTCGAGTCGCGAATGAAAGGAATCTGATCATTTTGAACTCGGGAGTTAGTAGGGTGACTCGGCGAGTAGGGTTGACCTGGAAGGTTGACTTTGACCAGGACTTTGACTTTGGACCAGGGTGGACTTGATTGTCTTTCGGGGGTCAGTGAGCAAGGGGAACAGGAGTTCCGTGAGTTGTCGGGAAGCAGCTAGTGAGATCATCAGCAAGTTCAGCCAGTTCAGGTGAGTTTCCCTTTGTGTGAATGGGTCTAAGGCCACAATGCCGACCCATGTAGTTATGAGTAGAAGACCTGGGGGTTAGCCCTAGGCACAGTATGCTAGCATTGTTTGCAGTACGAGGTCCAGTAATAGCGGGCGGGCGCCCAAGGAATTGTTTATATATGATAGTTTATACTTGTTGTCTGTGTGATACATGTATGTACCTGGTAGGGAGGTGAGTGTGGGCGAGGTCCCGTATCTCACCAATAGCAGAGTGTGGATGGGGTTCCATATCTCACTAGTAGCAGATTAGGGGCGAGGCCCGAATTAGAACAGGAGTGAGAGTGGGCTAGGCCCGTACCTCACTACCATTAGGAGCATGGATGGGGTTCCATGACTCCTCAGTAGCAGGACATGGGCGAGGCCCAGGAAAGGCGAGGCCTTAGGACAGAACCAGTTGCATGTGTTATGAAATGTTTATGTGTTATTATTTGTTGACGGGCGAGGCCCTGTGACAGGCGAGGCCGAAGTAAAACAGATCTGTATCCGAGCGGGGCTCGAAGCCAGGCGGGGCCGTTGTAGCGGGCGAGGCCCGAGGTAAGGGGGCGAGGCCCAAGATAGGGGGCGTGGCCCAGTATGTGCAGTATGTGGTTATGCATGGTATGTGGTAGGGTGGGGAACTCACTAAGCTTCGTGCTTACGGTTTTCAGTTTTGGTTTCAGGTACTTCCGGTAGCGGAGGAAAGAGCTCGGGGTGATCGCATGGCACACACCATAGATTAGACAGCCTGGGGATGTTTACTCTGATAACGAACATATGTTTTGAAAACTTATACTCATATTATGTTTTGGAATGATGATGTTACTTTAAGTAATGATTTATTAAAGAAATTTTTGGTCTTAAATTTTGGGTCGTTACAAGTTGGTATCAGAGCCTTGGTTTGAGGGATTCGGGCATACTCTCGGGTGTGCCTGAACTCAAACTGAGGGTCGGATAAAAGTTTTCAAAAGCGAAAAGATAGTTTTGTAAAGAGAGTTCTGAGAAAGAAAACGGCTTTATAAAAGTAAAAAGAATTCAGAAAGAAAAGAACTTGAAAAGAGAAAAGAGGTGTGGTGCATGCAATCAACCGAGCTCAAGTAAGTACCCCAAAATACCCATACAAGTTTATGTTTTGATTATCAGTTAATAGAGCAGCATGCTAGATTAGGACTAAGGATCTAGGGAGGATGCCTTATGTGCCTGTTATATGTGCTTTTGATCTGCATGATAGTGCTGAATAGTCAGTAGTAGGATAGCCTGATTAGGTTATGCCTGAGTTATGAGTTGTGTTGCATGCTAGTTCAGATTCTTGCTATGTGGATATGATTGCTTGAGTATGTCATGGTTAGATTTTCCCTTGTCTGAATGCTGCTTGCTTTGTGCATTGTGGGATTCTAAGTGATGGGAGTTAGCCATTAGGTGGATACGTCACGTCACATGTGATCAGGGTTGAATAATCTCAGAGTGTTGGATTTGGTCCTATTGCGCAGCTCTTGTTTGAGTCCAACCGTTGTAGGAACGAGTCTTTTACTTGAAGGATTATCTGAGCCTCGTCACATGTGATGGTATCCAGGTGATGGCTAATTGGCATTGCGAGGAGGCCTTCAGCAGCTGAGGACTGGTTGAGTTGAGTCAAAGGTTTCCCTAGGGTAAGCCTAGGATGAGGTAGTGCTGGGAGCAGTAGTAGTAGAAAAAGGGACCTGGTGGAGTCAAAGCAGTTCCTGAGGAAAGTACGGATAGATGTGGAAGGTAGTATGGGCCCGTACTACTGAAAGCAGAGGATCCGTACTCGATTCAGGGAAGGCCGAGACAAGACCGGGAACCTGGTAGTGAGTATGTTTGGTCTCGCAGCAGTGAGGAGTATTCTGATAGTGGTTATGTTGTATGTTTCAGTATGGTGACATTGCAAGAGGGACCAGCGGGCGGATCAGGCGCCGGAGAGGGATTAGGCTCGGGTTTAGGGGCCGAGCAGCTCGAGGAGCGGATGAGGGAGTTGATATCAGCGGAGGTTACGCGCAGTATTCTAGCTCAGACTCCTGTGATCTTTGGCACGGTCAAGGAGGGTATATTGGAGATTTTGGATGAGAGGCTGGGAGCCTTCCGTACTGAGATGATGGCTTTGTTGGGAGCGCGTACCTTGACATTTCGGGAGTTCAGGGCTTGCGGGGCACCAGATTATCATGGGGCTAGGGACCCCATCGCTAGCAGCAGATGGTTGGCTGATGTTGCCAACGCATTCCGTACGAGCCGGTGTCCTGAGGAGGACAAGGTCAGACTCGCTTCCTGTCTTCTGAAGGACAGAGCGAGGGATTGGTGGGAGGAGATTGGTCACGCTTTGGGGGATGATGCCGCGTTGGACGCGATGACTTGGAGTGATTTCTCAGCGAGGTTTAGAGCGGAGTTTTCGCCGATTATTGAGGTGCAACAGTTGGCCCGGGAGTTTCAGGATTTGACGCAGACTACTGAGACTGTGGCGGAGATCACCGCCAAGTTCAGAGAGAGAGCCCTTCTTGTTCCGCAGTATGTCGCGGATGAGGAGATGAAGAAGGCACGATATCACGAGATGCTGAGGGATGACATCAGGGAGTTCGTGAGCAGGTCCGGATGTAAGACTCTGGAGGATATGATTTCTCGGGCCAGGGAGAGGGAAATTGATTTGGAGCAGATCCGAAGAGGAAGCCGGATGAGGTTCAGGTAGCCGCGAGTTCGGGAAAAAGGCCCAAGGGAACGGATTCAAGGTCGAGGGATTATCAGGACCGCAGTCGATGCGGAAGGTGTGGCAGGACGCACGGGGGCGCGTGCAGGAGTGGTAGTGGTGGTGAGTCTGGCTGTTTCAGGTGCGGTCGGACGGGTCATTTTAGCAGAGATTGTACTGCTACCATCACCCAGGGATCAGACTTGATATGTTTTCACTGCAATCAGCGGGGCCACAAGAAGGCCCAGTGCCCTAGTTTGTTTTCAGCAGGACGGGTGATGGCACCCGCTCCTGCAACTTTGAGGATCACA